TGTTAACTCTGTTTTTCCCTTCACAGATGCTGCCAGACCTGCTGAGCTTTTCCAGCAACTTTGTTTTTGTTCCCGATTTACAGCATCCGCAATTCTTTCGGTTTTTACTTATGTGATTGGAGGAGCAGCTATTCCTCATTCCTTTCTACTCTATTTCAGACCCGCAATGATTAGCCACAGCTCTCCCCCATGTTCCCCTGACCCTGCACATGTACAACACTACTGCTGGGGCACAGGAGACAAGGGATAAAGGACGGAGACGTACCCAGAACTGATATGAAGCTGTTTTTGTCAAACAAAATCCAAAGGCCAAATCCCAACATCACTCCACCGAGAAACTGCAACAGAAAAGAAACAAAGTTCAGTAATTTTCCTAAAACATTGTCACTTTAGTTAAGCAGTCTGGCTCAGCTGCAGAATTGTGTAACAGAAGTCAATTGACTTGGAGTGGCAGATATTTAAGGTTATAGTTTAGAAGACACAGAACTTTCCAATCTGACTTTCTATATTGCTACCAAAATTACCTCACATTTATCCACATTATACTGCATCTGCCAGGCATTTACCCACTCACCCAGCCTGTCAAAAATCACACTGAAGCATCTCTTCAGAGATGCCCCTCCTCACAGCATCCCCCCCCACCCAGCTTCTGGCCATCTGCAAAGTTCGAGATATTACATTTAGTTCCCTCAGCTAAGTCACAAAACGCTCCCAAAATGCTCACACTTACACCTTAGTTTCAGAACAAACTATTATGCATTCAAACTTCATGTAAAGCTCCATCATATTATGATCACTATATCCCAAAGGTTCCTTCACACAAGGTCATTATAGTAATTAGCCTATTCTCATTTTACAACACCAAATTTAGAAAAGCCAGATTCCTCCCCGAATCCTCAACCTACTGTTCCAGAAACAAATCTCATTCACACTACAGTAATTCGTCCTACAGATCAATAACGTTGATTTGGTTAAGCCAGTCTATATGCAAATCAGTGCAGCTCCAATAGCACTTAATACCATCCAGGACAAAGCAGGCCCCACTTGATTGGCACCACATCCACAAGCATCCACTCCCTCCACCACCGACATTCAGTACACACTGCTGCTACTATCTCCAAGACGCACTGCAGAAATTCACCAAAGATCCTCAGGCAGCACCTTCCAAACCCACAACCACTTCCATCTAGAAGGGCAAGAGCAACAGGTACATGGGAACACCGCCCCCTGCAAGTTCCCCTCTAAGCCACTCACCATCCTGACTTGGGAATATAATCACTGTTCCATCACTGTTGCTGGGTCTAAATCCTGAAATTGCCTCCCTCAGGGTACTGGGGCAAATGTGCTGCAGTGGTTCAAAAATGCCACCATCATCCCAAAGGCAACTAGGGACAGAGTAATAAATACTGGGCAGCTAACAAATCCCACATCCCACATCCCACAAATAAATAATTTTTATTAAAAATTGAAGTCATCCATTTTTTTAAATTCGTTCAAGAGATGAGGATGTTGCTGACTAGGCAGCATTTATTGCCCATCCCTATTTGCCCAGAGGGCAGTTAAGAGTCAACCGCATTGCTGTGGGTCTAGGGTCACATGTAGGCCAGACCAGGTAAGGACGACAGTTTCCTTCCCTAAAGGACATTAGTGATCCAGGTGGGTTTTTCCAACAATTGGCAATGGATTCATGGTCATCATTAGATTCTTAATTCCAGATATTTATTGAATTCAAATGCCTCCATCTGCCGTGGCAGGATTCAAACCTGGATCCCCAGAACATCATCTGAGTCTCTGGATTAACAGTCCACTGATAATACCACTAGACTATTGCCTCCCCTATGCATCATTACTGCATAAACTAATTACATGCGTTTTTAATTCCCTGGTTTATAGAGTGCCCAACATTAGTGTCCTGAACAATATTCTCCATTCCGAACCTTGCCACTGCTTTGTCTGTCTTCTGTTTTTACTGATTGCTCTTTTACTTGCTGCGATTAGTTTTGATTGCCTCAAATCCAAGCACCTTCTTTGGTTCCCATCCTTTTGCCAAATTATTGTAAACCCTGTACAAGAGCTGAGGAAATCTCCCTTCGAGGATGTTACTCCTGCTCCAACCATCCTGTAGTGCTCCCGTCTGTCCCAGGACAGGTACCGATGCCTCTGGAATCCGATCAGCCCCTTCCCACACATGTTCTCCAGCCACATGTTCTCCAATTTCTATGCTCCTGGCACGTGGGACTCGGAATAAAAAAATTACTACTTTACAGATGCTGTTTTTTTAATCCAATTCCTGTTTTCAGGACCTCATCCCCCTCTTACCCAAGTCATTGGTACTGACATGGACCATGACCTCTGGCTGTTCACCCTCCAACAGAAAAACATCCTGCAGCCGATCTGTGGTATATTTTACCCTGATATCAGGCAGGCAACATCACCCTGGAGTTATGCTTCAATTTACAAAAACACCCTTCTGTTTTCCTAAATAACAAATTCCCGATCACTACTGGTCTTCCATTCTTCCTCCTCCTGGGTTGTGCAGCTGAACTCCCCATGGCACCTCAGACCTGGCTCAGAGTACACTCACCCTCACCAGTGTCCAACGTGAGAAATCCATCTACAGGCAGGATCTCCTTAGGGGACTCCATCAGACATTCCCAGGACAGGGACATTACAGGGTTAGATACAGAGTAAAGCTCCCTCTACACTGTCCACATCAAACATTCCCAGGACAGGGACAGTTTGGAATTAGATATAGAGTAAAGCTCCCTCTGCATATCCCCATCAAAACACTCCGAAGACAAGGACAGCACAGGGATGGTTACAAAATTATACTTACAAAAAAAATCAGGTTGAAAACAAACAGAAAGTATTTTGTAACAACGATACAGCCTTTTGACGCCATATTCGATCTGGTCACCTACAAAATAAGCAAATATCAAAGAGTTAGAAGATTTGGTGAAGGTAGCACTCAGGAAATATCATAACAGGTAGGGCACAGGGTGGGGACAAGAACAGGAAAAGGTGGAATGTGATATCAGGGAGACATGAAAGAGACAGAGCAAAAAAAGAGAGGGAGGCATATACAGGGGATGAAGGCAGAAAGAGGGAGGGAGGGTGGTGGAATAGAAAGACAGAGAGAGATACAGAGTGTATGAGGGGTGGGGAAATAAGTGTTGTTTTCGAGTCTGCACCTGGGAGGCACCAGACTGCTGTCGGGTAACTGGCTGGTGACAGGGACGAGGACGTGTAGATTCAAATATGTGCAGCCTGGGACAGGGATCAGGATTAGATGCTTGGGGGTGGGGGTGGTGGTTGTTTGCAGGGCAAGGGCATGAGAGTCCAATGTGTATTTCATGCGAATTAGAAACGTCACTTTTTGACTTCAATAATCTCAAATATTTGTATTTTAGGGCTCAAGGCTGATTGGTGCAAAGATGAAGTATCAAGGCCACATTCAATAAACAGCTTTACCTCCAATGCTCACACACACACACACACACACACACACAGTGTCAGATCATCATGGCTCAAATTGCACTGCCATCTTCAACTGAAAGTCTAGTATGACCTATCACAGGTGGACACCATGGGTCAGTGCTACATTGCCCGACGGGAGTGGGGAGTGGGGAGTGGGGAGTGGGGAGTGGGGAGGCTGCCCAAGGGTCAGCATCTTCCCAATGTACATTAATCTGATGTCTTTCTAACTCTGACAAGTGGTCAGAAAAGATCACACCACTGCTCTGGTAAATATTTAACCTCCGTCAACAACCGTGAAATGCAGATTTTCTGGTCATTATCACATTGGTGTGATTTCACTGAGCATAAATCAACAGCTAAATTTCTTCTATTTAAACAATTACTAGACTTTAAAAGTTCTTAATTGGCTACAAAGTGGCAATACAGCATCCCAAAGTTTGACATAAAAACACAAAGTGCTGGCACAGCAGGTCTGGCAGCATCTGTGGATAGAAAGACAGAGTTAATACTTTGAATCTGATATGACATTTCTGCATAACAACATCTCCTGAGACAGTCAGAACTGCTGACTTGCTCTAACACTTTGTTTTTTCTTTCAGATTTCCAGCATCCACAGTATCTCACTCTTAATCCAAGTTTGAGAAAGTTGCCAACTTTCTTTGGAGGTTAGGGTAAGGAGTTTCCAGACATATTGGTCAAAGGGTCTAGGCCCGAAACGTCAGCCTCTCTGCTCCTATGATGCTGCTTGGCCTGCTGTGTTCATCCAGCCCTGCACCTTGTTATCTCGGATTCTCCAGCATCTGCAGTTCCTACTATCTCTGAGAGACAGCTTAGTTTGTTTTTACTAATCTGGTAATAAAATGACAGTAATTGGACTCCTCCCAATGAACTGCAGAGTGGAAACAGGTTGTTTCTGCCAGTGAAGGAAATGGACATATTTTCTAATCAGACTGTTCAGGAGATGTTACTATATACTTCTGGAGCAGGTGAGACTTGAACCAAGGTCTCCTGGCTCAGAGACAAGGACACTACCATTTTGCCACAAGAGCCCTCATGGACAAAATGGATACAGGTCAGCACCTGTGTTTGTGACAGTTGGGTATAAACCAGACTGTGCTTACCCCTGACAATCCTTCATTAGTTGAAAGACTGAAGAAAGGGCCAAAATACCAGTTCAACTGTAAGATCAGCAGCAGTGCTGCCAAAGACTGAAGAGAGGGTAGGAGAAAGGGAAGTGGACTTGAAAGGAAAAAAATTTACTGGATTGACGGGCAAGTGCAGGGGAATGGAATGAATTGGATCGCTGTATGAAAGGTCCAGCATGTACAATGGGCTGAATGGCCTCCATTATGGAATTGTGATGAGAGGACAGATCATTCCTTAACATGCTTAGATGCAAAGACAGGAATTTTATTTTTGGAGGTTTTTCAGATACAGTGATAGTTTTTGTAAAGAGCTCTGATTAAATATAGATTGCACAAGACTGTCAACCAGTACTGTTTAACGTTTGGTTAATGTTTGAATAACAGGTTATGATCTTTATACAAACTCTGTATTTTTACATTTGCATCATGATTTAGGACAGATTACAGTTGGAATATTGCAGAAGTTTCCCCAACTGTAACTTTCCCAGAAACTGATACTCAGCATGGCACGCTCATCACATTCTTACAAAATAAAATACAGAAATGGGATTCCTTCACTTGTTCCAGCTGGGGATGTTCCAGTTTACTGAAATTTCTGCAAGCTGACATACTGACCTCGCAGCTGCCTGTTGGCAATGAACAGCCAGCTCTCAACCACTCACTCTTCTTACAAATATTCTGTCTCGAATCAGCCACACTCAGAAAACAGAAGACCACACAGTACAATGCCCACAGCATCTACGGAGGGGCGGACACTATCATTAGTTTCAAAAAAAAGTCAAACAAACCAGAAGCAGTGGTAGGCCACTCGGACCTTCAAGCCTCTTCTACCACATCACGGCTGATCTGACCCTGATCTTAACTCCCCCTTCCCGCCTTATGTCCACCCCCAAAACAATCGACTCTCTCAACCAAAAACCAAGCACTGCCTTGAATACTTTCAAAGACCCAGCCTCCAGCACTCCTCAGGAGAATAGAATTCCAAAAGCTATAAGCCCCCGGAGAAGAAAATCCTACTCATCCTCAATGGGAGATTCTTATTCGGAAATGGGCTCCATAATTCGACGTTCAGGAACAAACAGTGAATTTTCTCTGAACATGGTGGAGGCACTGACATGCCTCAGTTTGAAACTCCATTACCAAGTAAACAGTGAGGGAAGAGAGTTTACAAACTGGAAACCCCCAGATTATTAGCCCTCACAACCCCAATAGTTTCCCATTCCTTCTCAGCACAGCCAAATAAAAAATACTGCACCTTCAGGAGCTGTCTCTCCCACCCCACCCCCCACCCCCGCAGTGAGGGTCAGCACCTTCAGGAGCTTAGGGTAATTTGAGTCACAGGAAGGGCAGTGCTAACTAGGGTAAGGCAGGGGCATTGGGGTTTGTCATTATAGACAGGTGGCACCTCCATTTCTGTACAGTCATTTAATCATGTAATTCTTCCCCAACTCCGTCATCCTTACTATGCTCAACCACTCAGGCCCCACTCTGCTCTCTCTCACAGGTAACCCAGTACTCTGTGCTCTGACACCAAGCTGCAGATTCACCTGGTTCACAGACAGAAATGGCAGTCAGTGAGGACAGGAGCTTGCACACTTTACACAAGTTAGGAGATTCCACTCACACAGTGCTGATAGAGGACTCAGTCAGTGGAAGTTAATATTCAGTGTGAGTATGGGTCCAGATGACAAGATAAGTCCCAATATGCTCCAACTGGCAGCTTATTAAAATCCAACTTTGGCATTGTTTTAACTGAAGCTTCTTGATTCTCTTCAAATTTTTTTATTCTTTTGCCTGTCACTCAGTCTAGGTGCCATGGAGTTTATAATGTACAAATAGCTAACTCTGGACAACTAACTCTGTTCAAAACAAAATCAGAAAGGGAGTGGGTGGCTGAGGGGATCAGGGTCAGATTGTCAGAAGGAATCATTTCCTGCTTCCTTCAATTTTCTCTCTGCCCGCCGTCCCCAAGTCATAAGGGTCATACTCAGCCCCTCACTATATTCCTTATACACACACGACTGTGCGGCCAAATTGAGCTCTAACTCCATTCACAAATTTGATGATGACTCCACCGTAGCAGGTCAGATCCTACACAATGATGAGACAGAATACAGGAAAGAGATCGACAGCTTAGCAGCATGGTATAAAGACAACAATCTCTCCCTCAACATCAGCAAAATGAAGGTGCTGGTCATCAACTTTAGGAAGTGAAGTGGAGAACATGCCTCTGTCTGTATCAATGGTGCTGGGGTGGAGATGTTTGAGAGCTTCAAGTTCGTGGGAGTAAATATCACCAACAGTCTGTCCTGGTCCATCCACATCAATGTGACAGGTAGGAAAGCACAACAATGTCCCTACTTCCTCAGAAGGCTAAAGGAAATTCAGCATGTCCACAGTGACACTTACCAACTCTTGTAAATGCACCATAGAAAGCATCCTATCCAGATCTATCACAGCCTGGTATGGCAACTGCTCTGCCCAAGACCACAAGAAATTACAGAGAGTTGTGAACACAGCCCAGTCCATCACAAAAACCAGCCTTCCTTCCACTGACTCTGTCTACACTTCCTACTGCCTCAGGAAAGCAGCCAACATCAAAGACCCCTCCCATTCCAGTTACACTCTCGTTCACCCTCTTCCATCGGGCAGAAGATACAAACGTTTGAAAACATGTAGCAAGAGATTTAAGGCTTCTTTTCTGCTGTTATCAGACTTATTGACGAACCGCTCAAATGCTAATTCTGATATTTCTCTGCACCTTCTCTGTAGCTGTAACACTATATTCTACATTCTGTTCTATTACCCTGATGTACTTATGGAAGGTATGATTTGTCTGGATAGCACACAAAACAATACTTTTCACCAGATCTCAGTACACGTGGCAACAATAAATCAAATCAAATGAAGTCCTTCTTAACCTCTCTCCTCACTCCCTCCTTCCCTACCAACCCCAACCACTTTTGTGCGCTCTCTCTCTCTCTCTCTCTGTCTCCAAGGACTGGAGATCACTGAGCCAAGAAACACTCACTGGAAGTTCCAGTGCAGTTGCATATTTCTGATCCCCCAATACCAGGGCAGTCATTAAACTTCACGTTGTGAAACAGAGACATCAAATCAAAACTTTCTATTGGAGGCATAAGGAAACAGACTTTAGCCTCAATAAACTCTAAGTATCAGTGCAGCTGTACAGTGATCTCAGTCTGAATGTACATAATGGCAGGTTCCCGCATATATTAATGAGCTCATGTGTGAAAAGGTGCTTTTTCCACAGATTCTGTGGCAGATATTTTTCTCACAGCTGTACAACAGACAGAAAAATGTGCACAACACACTCAAACATTAGGGTTCAAACATGCAGACGGCCAGATGACCCACTCTGACAGGTGCCACATGCTATCACCAAGTTATATCAACAGGAAACAGTATAGGTACTCACAAAAACATGAAGAGAGAAACCATCTGCTCTTTAAGACGGAACTGTCCTCTAGATTAAAACAAGCAAAACTGCCCTATTTCGGGGAAATTTCTGGGTGAAGTTTTCAACAACATTTTTGATCAGGTGTCACTGACAGGGATCAAACTAAAGCAAAATAGTAAGAGGCAGGATAAGGCACAAAATAAATCAACAAGGAGTAAGAGCACAGGCAACATTTCACCCCGTTTTTACAATAAATTCAAACTAAGCATCAGCACTCCGTGACATTATTAATCTTAAACTGCAACCAGCACTCCACAGAACTTCTCTCTTAATTCTCATTTCCACTCATACCCTCTGAGGCTCTTCTCTGACTCTTCACTGTGTTCAAATGGGCTCAACCCACCATCTGCAAACCTCAATATTTAATCTTATCAAATCTTAACAAAGGTACTTACTGCTGTTAACTTCCTCAATGACTTTTCTGACAATATCTTTCCACCTTTGAGACATCCTGTCTGGTGGCAATGACGTCTTCCATTTAAAAAAAAACATTCTTAAAATACACGCCCCTCAGCCCATTGACGAGTGAAACTCCTGCACCAGGGCCTTCATCACTCTCCTTGGAGCAGTCCCATTGCACACTGGTGGACGGCTCTGTCAGTGACTTTTAACTTAGAGCTTTAAACTTTAATTATCTGCAGAGCTTTTCATGAGATCCCTCTTGTACATATATGCAGGAAACTGCATTCAGGAGGCAGAGTTGCAAATACAGTAAATTCTCTGTATCCACAAAAATCACAAATTCACCTAACCACCACAAAAAATAAGCAACAACAATCAACATCCACGGGCAAAATTTCTGATCAGCGATTTTCAACCTTTAAACAATAATTTCATCAATCACAGGGGTACACAGGAATAACTGTACATGCTCTATCACTGCAGCAAAAGCTTTGAAACACCAAATCTGCAGGAGTGTGTAATTACACTGTGACAGGTTTAAATGGATAGTTACAATACAACATTGACAAAGTAACTTACAATGGAAACATAAAAATATGGAAGACTGACATTAAACTGAGATCTTAACTGCATTGATTTGATTTCATCTAGTTAGTCCGCTCCTACTATCATAGAATTCCTATCATGTGGAAGCAGGCCATTCAGCCAATCGAGTCTATGCTGTCCTTCTGAAACAAAGAAGATGCAAACTCCACACAGACAGAGGCTGGAATTGAACCCAGATCCCTAGAGCTGAGAGGCAGAAGTGCTAACCATTGAGCCACCATGCCACCCCTATCTACCACTTCACCTGGAGATGATACTTAGGTTGAAATCTCAGTGTTAAACACCAGAGAGCATCAACTGTTCAAAATATTAAATATTGGAACAGAGATCCTGATAATGGACAATGAAAGTAAATCACTGCTGAAGAATAATTAACTAACAATGCCTGTGGAGTTGAATGAAAATAAGCTTAGAGGACTGAGCATAAAGGCTAGAGCAGTCTTGCCTAGACTACTAAAGTGGAGAGGTGCAGACCGAGCAGACCCTGGTCCTACTTTCAGTCAGCAAGTCATTGTTCCAGTGCAGGCACGATATTCAACCCCGAAAGCATCACAGTCAAGGTAAGCACTGTCCCCATCCAGTCACTGGTGAATGCCCCACCTAACACGAAGCACTGAAATGATAAACACCACAGATTCTTGGAAATGTTAGCCAGCAGTAAAATAGTTCCCAACTATCAACTGAAATAATGAGAACAATTTCCCAAACCACAGCATTTCTGTTCAGTAAAGAAAACTTTAGAACTGAAACATTTTGAAACTCTGCTTGGTGTTGTATATATATAATGAAACACAGATCCTGATTGTAATTTTGGCACCCAGTAAACTGCAGGAATTCATCATGATCCTCACCAGTACTACTGTCACAGAGCCATATAAAATGCAACTTTTGTACATTGCCAACAACAACTTGCCTTCAATTATCTGACTTACAGGAATAAAGACTTGCATTTACATAGCACCTTACACAACCACCAGGCCTCCCAAGGCATATTATTTAAGTGTTGGAACTGTGCTGATGTCAAAATGCACCAGGTCAATTTGCGCAGAGCAAGCTCCCACAAGCAGCAATATGATCAAGGCAAAGCATTAGGTTTTTATGAGGCCGACTGAGGGACAAACATTGGCTCTGGCACAGCATGGAGAAGCTCCCTGTTGGTTTTCAACATCATAGCCCAGACACCACGGCCAGTTTCAGTTTAAAATCTCATCTCAGTGCGGCGCTGACCCTCCGACAGCACGGTGCTCTCCTACTTCTCATGGTCTCTCCCTCACCCTATCACACCATCCTGCCCTATCGACCTCCCTCCCACCTTCCCCCGCCTACCCCTCCACCTCGCACTCACTCTCTCTCTCTCACACCCCTCCTCCCCACCCCCACAT